ATATTTACACATGTTATTAATACTTATTTTAACATATTTTCGTCAAAAAAATTCAAAAAACTTTAAAAATAACGATTATGACAATTGTCACTTTTCATTGGTACATCTTCACTAAATTTATATTTACACATGTTATAAATACTTATTTTAACATATTTTCTTCAAAAAAATTCAAAAAACTTTAAAAAATTGGTACATTTTCACTAAATTTATATTTACACATGTTATTAATACTTATTTTAACATATTTTCGTCAAAAAAATTCAAAAAACTTTAAAAAATTGGTACATTTTCACTAAATTTATATTTACACATGTTATTAATACTTATTTTAACATATTTTCTTCAAAAAAATTCAAAAAACTTTAAAAATAACGATTATGACAATTGTCATTGGTACATCTTCACTAAATTTATATTTACACATGTTATAAATACTTATTTTAACATATTTTCTTCAAAAAACTTTAAAAAATTGGTACATCTTCACTAAATTTATATTTACACATGTTATTAATACTTATTTTAACATATTTTCGTCAAAAAAATTCAAAAAACTTTAAAAATAACGATTATGACAATTGTCATTTTTCATTGGTACATCTTCACTAAATTTTTATTTAAACATGTTTTTAATACTTATTTTAACATATTTTCTTCAAAAAAATTCAAAAAACTTTAAAAATAACGAATATGACAATTGTCACTTTTCATTGGTACATCTTCACTAAATTTATATTTACACATGTTATTAATACTTATTTTAACATATTTTCGTCAAAAAAATTCAAAAAACTTTAAAAAATTGGTACATTTTCACTAAATTTATATTTACACATGTTATTAATACTTATTTTAACATATTTTCGTCAAAAAAATTCAAAAAACTTTAAAATTAACGATTATGACAATTGTCACTTTTCATTGGACATCTTCACTAAATTTATATTTACACATGTTATTAATACTTATTTTAACATATTTTCGTCAAAAAAATTTAAATAACTTTAAAAATAACGATTAATTGTCACTTTTCTATGGTACATCTTCACTAAATTTATATTTACACATGTTATTAATACTTATTTTAACAAATTTTCGTCAAAAAAATTCAAAAAACTTTAAAATTAACGATTATGACAATTGTCACTTTTCATTGGTACATCTTCACTAAATTTATATTTACACATGTTATTAATACTTATTTTAACATACTTTCTTCAAAAAAATTCAAAAAACTTATAAAAGAACGATTATGACAATTGTCAAATTAAAATATTATCCTTAAAAAGATCATATAAAATAACATCAAAAAAGTTTCATAAAATCCACCTCATTTAATAATAAATAGATAATTGATAAAAGATTTCACCTAAAAGATTGTTTATTTATCTAATAAAATTTACAATATAATTCCTCAATAAAAGATGTATTTACAAAGAAGATTGTGAAAATCACTAATAAATTATATTAAAAAGAATATTACATTTTTACAATATAGCAGCATATTATTTTTTTTATTAAAAAAACATCAAATAAATAAATTTATTTTCATTTCAAAATATAATAATATAAATAAAAAATATTAAATCATATCATGTTTATTTGTTGATAATAATAAAATATTTACATTAAATATAAATAAAATAAATTATTTTACTAAAATAAATAAATAATAATTAATGCTAAGCATCGATGCAAAATTTTGACTAATTTATTTTAGCCAATTTTTAGACTTAGCCAATTTTTAGGCTTAGCCTAATTAGGTTTAGCCGATTTTTAGGCTTAGCCTAATTAGGTTTAGCCGATTTTTAGGCTTAGCCTAATTAGGCTTAGCCGATTTTTAGGCTTAGCCTAATTAGGCTTAGCCGATTTTTAGGCTTTACATAATTAGGCTTAGCCGATTTTTCCACCTAAAATCTCGGCTAAGCCGTTTTTTAGTCGGCTAAAATTAGCCGATTACGCAACACTACATGTGAGAGCACAAACAGCAGTAAGGACGGATTATGGTGATAGTGAAAGCTTAGAAGTGAAGGTAGGACTTCATCAAAGATCCGTGCTGAGTCCATTATTATTTATCTTAATAATGGATGTGGTGGCTAGAGAAATAGGTGAAGGACTTCCCTGGGGGCTATTACATGCAGATGTCCTTGTATTAATGGCAAACAGTGAGTAAGAATTAAAGGATAAAATTAGTAAATGGAGGATGGCTATGGAAGCAAAGGGCCTGAAAATGAATATAGCAAAGACAAAGGTGATGATTGGTGGGAAAATCTAAAGATGGAGGAATCCGATAAGTGGCCTTGAGGTGTATGTGAGAAAGAAGTTACTAGAAATTCAATCCAATGCACCAGATGCCATAAATGGGTACATAATAATAATAACGTAGAAAATGGTGGTTTGGATATTTGCAATAGGTTAACCCTAGAAAAAGTGAATAAGTTATGTTATTTGGGTGATATGCTAAACGCAGATGGTGGTGTAGATTCTGCCGTTGTTGCAAGGGTCAGACAAGCATGGAAGAAGTTCAGAGAGATGGCGTCTATTCTAACTAGAGGTATGCGCGGGCCGTGAAATTACGCGTGACTCACGCGTCATGGTGGGTCACAACGTGAGTGTGAATATAAATTATTAGGCGTGACGGGCCTTCCCAAAATTTTTCCCGGGCGTGATCGGGCGTGAACATGAATTTCCCGTGAATCACGGAAAACAACATCTGGTGTCACGCTCCTAGTTCTATTTTCTTTTTATGTTTAGGTGTTTTGTCGCGAGATTTTTTATTTAAACTTTAAAATTTATTCTCAAGCACTTAGGTAGGCTTAATTCTAGATCCTAATTTCAAAAGCCTTAAGTTTTAAATAGACGAAGAAAAGGAAGATATTTACAAAACAATCTTAAAAATGTGAAATGATATAAAATTAGATGATATGCATAAGTCAATGCCAACTGTAATTTATAACTTTCCTAATTCATCCTACATTCATGACATATTTTTAGATGATTCTGATGAAGCAACAACATCTATCGATGAAAGCTCTGTGAATTTAAAATATTCATCCCATAAAACAAATAACAATGGCAATATTTTTAAGTTTTGGAAGCAAGAAAATTTATTTCCTTTTTTGAGAAAATTAGAGAGTAAAATTTTGTCAGCCCTGGCAAATTCGGCTTCTAGTGAAGGGTTATTTTCTGTAGCCAATCGCCTATTAGAAGAAAGGCGTACACAATTAAAATAAAAAAAATAGACATTCCTTTTCTAATTAAAAATTCGGATTTATAATATGTATTTATTTATTGTTTTTCTGGATTATGGAATTAAAGAAATAAATAGAATAAATTCAAAAAAGTGTAAAAAATTATAGCATTAAAGTTTTGAAAAATTTAAAAACACCGTGAATTTTCGGGCGTGAATCAAAATATTGCCTTTAGTGAGCGGGTGGGTCGGGTCGAAATTTTTTAGTGGTAAGCGTGAATATTTTTTATTGCCACCGTGAGCGAGCGGGTCGTGAATAAAAAATTAGGCCCGCGCCCACCTCTAATTCTAACAAATAAAAAAGTCTCTCTGAAGTTAAAGGGTAAAGTTTACGTAAGCGGTGTGAGGAGTTGTTTAGTTTATGGCGGAGAAACATGGGCAATGAAAACGACTCACGAAGCCAAATTAGAAAGAACAAAGTTGAGAATAATTATATGGATGTGTGGGGTTTCTCTGAGAGAGAAAAACTAGCACAGAATTGAGAGCAAGATTAGGTATAGAAATGATTGTAGTGGTAATGCGATGAAATAGACTAAGATGTTGTGGTCCGTGGAAAGTATAACAAAAGATGGCTGGGTAAAGAGGTGCACCTTGATGGAGGTAGGAGGATCAAGACCTAGAGGAAGGTCCAAGATGACGTGGACAAATGTGATAGCGGCGGATATGAGAAGCATGAATCTTACAAATATTGATGCTCAGGACCGTCAGAAATGGAAAAGAAAAATCAGAGGGAAAACTGGCCTACCTGGGTAAACCTGGAAAACGCCATAAAACGGAGAAGAAGAAGTAATGATTTGTAAAATATATTAATTGTAAATTTCAATTATTAAATAAGTATAAAAGAACGTAGTTTAATATCAAATATATAAAACTATTTCAATATTATAAATAAAGACAATATAACGATAATTGATATTATCTAATAATACTACAACCTTAATATGCAAAATTTTGTCTAGAAATTATTTCAATATTTTCACAAAAGTCAATGAGATTGCAACTAGCATTTAACGTAAATTTATCACAATGATAATTTATTTAAATATAAATTATTATAACTGTTAAAAATTGTGTCATGCGAAACTATAAAAAGGTCTATAAACTAGTTGGAACTTTTTGATGGCCTCCTTTTCACGATGACTTATAATAAGTGATGATTAAGTAGTATCAGTAAATATTTTCATTTTTAGATATTCTTGTATATAGTTAATTGATGATGTCAGATACCCAAGTTAGCGTATATAAAATGTTCTCAGCTAATAGAATTTACTCTTTCTCCATATAAATATAGCTTAAAGAAGAAAATTTTGAAATATAATTGTATAAAGCTCAATATTATATTTTAGGGAATAATGATAAAATTTTTAAAAAATGTGCCTCTCTTTAGATAATTTTAAACAAACCAATATTATAACTTTTTAATCTGAACCTAAACCTGAAACGATATTCGTTACGGTTCGGATCCCTGATTTAAAACCTAATAAAGAGTGTGAATCTCATTATTTTTGTTTAGCAATCCAGCTAGTCAGTACATAAAGTATTCTCAACAAATTTATTCCTTCACCCTTATAGTTATAATTTAACTGAAGAAATTGCTGAAAATATCCTTATTGTAAGACTCAATAGTATTTTTAGGAAAATGATTTAAATAATATAATTATAATAAAATTAACCTTGGATTTTAAAGATAAAATAAAAAACATGATTTTCTATATATAGTAATTTTATGTATATGTGTACATATAACCTAATCCATAAGCGAAAACTAGGGAAGTTGATTCCAATCCAGAAGGCGAAACGTAGAATCCTTTGATCCTGAAAAGACTTCGGTTGTAATTCATGACTTGTTGGGTGAAATAGGGTAATTCTGGCACGTAAAATATCACCTTCTTAGAAATTCTTTTAAAAAATATATAAAGGGGATAACATCGTTTTATTTATTTATTAGTAATCATTTAATCCGGCTTCAATCAGAAAGTTTAGTAAATAATTTACAAAATTTTTAAAGGCACTATAATTCTATAGAAACTATAATGTTAATTTTTAAAATAAGCTTAAGACTTAAGAATATATTATTTTATTCTGATTTGTGGATCCAATTGCATTTCCATTCATGGATTAATGTCAATACAATTGTTTATATTAATATCAGATATGCAAGTCCGGATCCGGATGATTATAAAAAATAAAATACTAACTGAACTCAATTTTTTAAATAAATAATTATATCATTTAACCAGTTGGAAAATCACATTGAATCATTTAACTTTCATTTATTTCTTAAATTTTTAATTTTATAGTCTATAGTATTAAAAATGATATTGAACCACGTTTAGAAATAAAAACCCAAGCTAATTTAAAAAAATATTGGGCTTGAAAATGTGAAAAATTTAAATCCGTCAGTCCTAAAAAATATCTTTGCATACCTTTGATTATTATACATATTAAATCTATAATAATTTCATAAAAATTAATTTTTTTAAAAAATAAATATAGTAAAACTTGGTCTTTTGATAGGAAAATTTTTGATCTAAAATTTCGCGACCAAATTGATAGAGTTTCCCATCAGCGAGTGCCACTTTAAAAATTAATATAAATTTTTTAGACGCTTTTTTATAAAATAAAATTGATAGTAAGACAAATGAAGTAATATTGAAAATTATTTGTTTAAACGGTATAAATTATTAAAAATTGATGATAATATATTTATTATCATAAACTGATGATCTTCTTTTGGGTGAGACCAAGCTCGGTAAAAGTAGTAGTAAGAGAGGTTATGTCTGAGTGAAGCGGGAAAATGAAGGTTCGAGCTTCGACCAAAGGGAACCTGTTGAGAGGGCCGTGTATGGATGAAGAAAGTTTAGAAGAATCGGAAAACTGCTTTCCTTGGTACAAATATATGATAGACATTTCTCGTCTGCGCTGTTTAACGCTGTAATAAGAATACTTTCGGTATTTCGTCCGTAGAAAATAGATTTTTTTTAAAAAAAATAAAGTTATTTGAAAAATATAATTAGATTTTTTAAAATAAACTTATTAAGCTTTTAAAAATGTTATGCATCACAGTGTGGCGTACTAGAGACCAAATTTGGGAATGAAACGGGTGGCGTAATAAAAAAATGCTTCGTTTATAAATTTTGTTTAAACGTCATTCTTAGTTCTTTTTTATTCTAACCACGACGCTGTAAAATAATACATGATTTTCTCTGGTGTATAAAATAAGTTAACATAACAATTACATACTGGGTCAATCATTCATTTAAATATATAGTGGAGACCGAGGTAAGCTAGGGGATGTTTTCTTTAACATCCTCAGAGTATAAGATATATTTTTTAAAAAAATTTGGACCAACGTATCTCATCACATGATAATTTGGTCCTATATTATATTATTTGATTCATTCTAAAATAGATTACCTATTTTAAAATGAATCTATTTTAGAATGAATGCGATTCATTTATAAATATATTCATTTCTGGGCACCGGCAGCACTGAGGAATGCGTTGCCCCCCTCTGCACAGGTTAAGAAATTAAATCATGGATATGTTACAGTGTATTATGATATTTAATTATAAAAAAAAAATAAAAAAAAATATAATTCTAAAAATTACGAAAATCCAATTTTCAGAATTTATCACTAAAACCGGGCCCTTGCACTTTTTGTGACGGGAACTGTAAATTACGTTGCCTATTATTGAATCCACGAGGAAAATATCAAAGTAGACTTTTGAGGGAATATTGGTGAAAATATAATAATAATAATATAATAATTATCAAAGTGGAAGAAAGATTATTGAATACAATTTAAGGTGACCATTTCATTAAGATTAAGAAGGTCGCTGGTAACTTAAAATGTTCTATAAAATTATTTAATGAATTAAAATATTAAAGTTTTGAAAAATCTATAAAATAAAATTACCAGTATTACAAACATCTAGTGGGCATTCTGTTACAACAACTATTAAGTTTGGGTTTATGTATTTGTACATAACGTTTCTATCGTCTAAAACCTTACCAGGAGAATCAATTTTTTCTGTTAAATAAAATATATTTTAAACCAAACCATATAATTAATTTCTCGTTCTTTTAGAAATTAAATATACATTTAAATTTAATAAATGTAACTTGCAACTAGTGTTGCGTAATCAGCTAAAAACTACGCCTAAGCCTATTTAGGCTAAGCCTAAAAATCGTCTAACTAAGCCTATATAAATGGGCATTAGTCAAAATTCTGCATCGATGCTTAGCATTAATTATTATTTATTTATTTTAGTAAAATAATTTATTTTATTAATATTTAATGTAAATATTTTATTATTATCATCAAATAATCATGATATGATTTAATATTTTTATTTATATTATTATATTTTGAAATGAAAATAAATTTATTTATTTGATGTTTTTTTAATAAAAAAAATAATATGCTGCTATATTGTAAAAATGTTTCTTTTTAATATAATTTATTAGTGATTTTCACAATCTTCTTTGTAAATACATCTTTTAAGGAATTATATTGTAAATTTTATTAGATAAATAAACAATCTTTTATAATTTTTTTTATCATTTTTTAAAATTATCTATTTTTTATTAAATGAGGTGGATTTTATGAAACTTTTAGATGTTATTTTATATGATCTTTTTAAGGATAATATTTTAATGTGACAATTGTCATAATCATTATTTTTAAAGTTTTTTTGACGAAAATATGTTAAAATAAGTATTAATAACATGTGTAAATATAAATTTAATGAAAATGTACCAATGAAAAGTGACAAGTCATAATCGTTATTTTTAAAGTTTTTTGAATTTTTTTGACGACAATATGTTAAAATAAATATTTATAACATGTGTAAATATAAATTTAGTGAAGATGTACCAAATGTACCAATGAAAAGTGACAATTGTCATAATCGTTATTTTTAAAGTTTTTTGAATTTTTTTGACGACAATATGTTAAAATAAATATTAATAACATGTGTAAATATAAATTTAGTGAAGATGTACCAATGAAAAGTGACAATTGTCATAATCGTTATTTTTAAAGATTTTTGAATTTTTTTGAAGAAAATATGTTAAAATAAGTATTGATAACATGTTTAAATAAAATTTATAGAAGATGTACCGTAGAAAAGTGACAATTGTCATAATCGTTATTTTTAAAGTTTTTTGAATTTTATCGACAAAAATATTTTAAAATAAGTATTGATAACATGTTTAAATAAAAATTTAGTAAAGATGTACTCTAGATAAGTGACAATTGTCATAATCGTTATTTTTAAAGTTTTTTAATTTTTGTTGACGAAAATATGTTAAAATGAGTAATAAAAACATGTTTAAATAAAAATTTAGTGAAGATGTACCATAGAAAAGTGACAATTGTCATAATCGTTATTTTTAAAGATTCTTTGATGTAAATGGGTAAAAATATAGATTGTAAAATTAAAATTGCCTGAGTATGTGCCATAGAAAAAACATATGTTAATAATAGATTTTTCCCCAAAAACAGGAGCAAATTGGCATTTTATAACATCCGTTCATCGGGTCAGAAATTAATATGCAAAATTTATATCATAATATCTAATCCTAAGTTAGAAATTATTATTTTTTTGCCAATTTTCATCAGACAATCTTGTTTAAAATTTGGGTAAACTTTTTTTTCTATTTTAAAATCAATATCGATGCAAATTAACTATTTTCGTCAACAAAAATCAAAAAACTTTAAAAATAACGATTATGACAATTGTCGTTTATCTAGAGTACATCTTCACTAAATTTTTATTTAAACATGTTATCAATACTTATTTTAACATATTTTCTTCAAAAAAATTCAAAAATTTTTAAAAATAACGATTATGACAATTGTCACTTTTCATTGGTACATCTTCACTAAATTTATATTTACACATGTTATTAATATTTATTTTAACATATTGTCGTCAAAAAAAATCAAAAAACTTTAAAAATAACGATTATGACAATTGTCACTTTTCATTGGTACATCTTCACTAAATTTATATTTACACATGTTATTAATACTTATTTTAACATATTTTCGTCAAAAAAATTCAAAAAACTTTAAAAATAACGATTATGACAATTGTCACTTTTCTATGGTACATCTCACTAAATTTTTATTTAAACATGTTTTTAATACTTATTTTAACATATTTTTTTCAAAAAACTTATAAAATAACGATTATGACAATTGTCACTTTTCTATGGTACATCTTCACTAAATTTTTATTTAAACATCTTATTAATACTTATTTTAACATATTTTCTTCAAAAAAAATTCAAAAAACTTATAAAATAACGATTATGACAATTGTCAATTTTCTATGGTACATCTTCACTAAATTTTTATTTAAACATGTTATTAATACTTATTTTAACATAATGTCGTCAAAAAAATTCCAAAAACTTTAAAAATAACGATTATGACAATTGTCACTTTTCATTGGTACATCTTCACTAAATTTATATTTACACATGTTATTAATACTTATTTTAACATATTTTCTTCAAAAAAATTCAAAAAGCTTATAAAATGATTATGACAATTGTCACATTAAAATATTATCCTTGAAAAGATCATATAAAATAACATCAAAAAAGTTTCATAAAATCCACCTCATTTAATAAAAAATAGATAATTTTAAAAAAATGATAAAAGATTTCACCTAAAAGATTGTTTATTTATCTAATAAAATTTACAATATAATTCCTTAAAAGATGTGTTTACAAAGAAGATTGTGAAAATCACTAATAAATTATATTAAAAAGAATATTACATTTTTACAATATAGCAGCATATTATTTTTTTTATTAAAAAAAACATCAAATAAATAAAAAAAAATTTCATTTCAAAATAAAACAATATTAATAAAAAATATTAAATCATATCATGTTTATTTGTTGATAATAATAAAATATTTACATTAAATATAATTAAAATAAATTATTTTACTAAAATAAATAAATAATAATTAATGCTAGGCATCGATGCAGAATTTTTGACTAATTTATTTTAGCCAATTTTTAGGCTTAGCTGATTTTTTCACCTAAAATCTCGGCTAAGCTGTTTTGTAGTCGGCTAAAATTAGCCGATTACGCAACACTTCTTGCAACTTATCCAATATTATTGAGTTAAAAAATATTAAAATGGATTATAATTAACTTAAAAAAGAGACTAATTGGGAAAGGGATGCTTATATAAAACAATAGTAACAGTGGAAACAATTTTTTAAAAAATCAAAAATTCATGTTGAATTTAACCTTTTTATTTGAAATTAATAAAGTCTCATATAAACTATTTTTTGGTGTGAGTAGATCCTTCTTATGTTTCCAATAGAAATAATTAGCCATATACGAAGTTAAAACTGATTATTATCACCCCTGTGAGCGCATTAGCCTTTACAACCTTCAGAGCTACATATTTCGTTTATAAAAGATTATGAAAGCATATGTAAGCCAAAACCAAAACTTAGGGTCTCAAAGAGGATTTCTATTAGACAAAGGTAGCCCTATTGTTGAGAGTTATTTTATGTTTTATTGGCCTTTTGTCTGATTTCCTTAGGTTTACTTCGCATCATATTATTATATTTTTAATATATAAGTAACATCGGAGTGTCCTTTTTCAGAGGAATGTGACTTTTAAAAAAAGAGAGTATCCTTTTTCAATATTAAGAAGACACTGATTTTATAAAAGTTCAATAAGTCTCTGAAAAGGGCATATGTCACTATATAAAAAAATTTAAAAATAAATTCATAAAAATATATAAAACGTTTCAAAAATTTCGTCCATATTCATTTAATCAATTTATGAGATCCCCACATGATTCATGTGTATTCGAAATTTCATATATCTTCTATAGTTTCTTCCGAATAGTAGGGTGGTTTTAAATTGTTAATTGTTTTTTCCCATGAAATTCCAAAGTTCTTTAAAACAAGGGTCGCTGCTGGCAATAAACAATATTAATATATCTGTCAGATAACCACCTTTTAGTCGATTTGCAGTATGACATGGAGTCCCGTCATGATGAAATACACTCGCGCCGTCAGGAAATAAAGTATGGATGAAAATGTTAATCTAATGTCTCTTAATATTCTAGAGCGTTTATAAAAGCCAAACTTTCAACACCTTTGAAACTCACAAATCCCCAAATCTGCTCTCTGTTATATTTTAATATCTTATATATTTTAAAAGGTTATAATTTTTGTTCTATTGACGACTATATAGACTACATCAAATATATGCTGAATGTTAAAAATATTCCTCAAGCTGACGCCACTTTGAAGAAATTATTTATAGCTTATGGAAGAATAAATATTATAACTGATACAAAAAATTTACTCTTTCCAAGAAAAATTGATGATGTGGTATGGGTAGATCTATACAAAATTAAACAACTTTATAAAGATGAAAGAACTGTTCTGGCATCTAGAATTGATTTCATAAGATTAAGTCGCGGACCTACAGAATCCGTATTGAGTTATTTAAAAACTATAAAGGAACTAGCCCGAAGATGCGACTTTAAAGATAATGTAGACCTAAGAATTCGCGATCAATTAATCGCTGGACTAAAGATGTCATAGCTGGATAAAGAACTAAGTTTAAGATAGATACTAAAGACGAAGACCAACCGTTAAGCATAAGCAAAGTTATAGAAATGGCTTTACCCTTAGAAGTAAATAATACTACTAAAATGGTTTATAAAATCAAAGAGACGACCAAATATAATGATAATAATAAACGATTAAATCAAAATGATAATAATCGACAGTATAATGATAATGACACTATCAAAATGAAAATAAAACATACGTAAAAAGAGAACCAGTAGAAGGTTATATTCCACACAAATAATAATTTACAAGAAAACCGTGCTATTTTGTAATCGTTTTCATGCTATTCGGAATTGTCCAGCATACGGAAAAACATGCAACAAATGTAAGAAATTAAACCACTTTGCGGTACAAATTATAATAGTAACGACAGCGATTCAGATTTCTCAATAAGAAAGGTCTATA